GCCCTCAGAGCCTCCACTCCTGCAGCTGCAGAGTGCCAACTTCTGCAAATGCCTCTCCTTGGGAATCAAATGGAACTGAAGAGGCTGCTTGAGTGATGCTGGCAGCAAGCACTTGTACGGCCATCATTGTGGTGGTGGTGGAATCTAGCATCTGCAAAGAGCGATGGCCATAGAGTCCATCTCGAGTTCATTCCACACCACTGCCACTTCGTTTTACGCCTGTTCTTTAAGCGGGCAAAACCCTTAATTTGCAGAGGTTAAGTGTTAAGTGCTATCACTGCTGTTAGGAGAGAGGCCACCTGAACAGCAATCTAGGCAGTGCGCAGAGAACTAAACAGGAAGCGGAAATACTGGGACAGTTAATAATGGGTTCTATTGCTCAAATTACGTTTGTGTGAATTATTATAGGCAGAGTCCGTCTAGCTCAGTATTGTCTGCACTGACTGGCAGCGGTTCCCCAGGGTTTCAGAAGGGGGTCTTTCTACTTGGAGCTGCTGGGGGTTGAACCAGGGACATTCTGCACATGCTGCAGCACTGAGATACATCTTTCCCCTTAATATTCCACTCCTCCTGGTGCTGCATTTAGTAGGAAGACAGCGAGCTGCCTTATACCAAGTCATATTGTTGGTCTGCTTAGCCCTGTGTTGTCTACACTGACTGGCAGCTGCTCTCCAGGGTTTCAGTCAGTGGGCATTCCCAGTCCTATCTGGAGATGCCAGGGACTGAACCTGGAACCTTCTGCATGCAAAGCAGAAGCTCCACAACTGACCTATGTTCCTTCTCCTATCACCTGCCCTTAAGTCCACACCATCCATCAACTTCATTCATGGTATTGGGGTGCGGTTTGTTGCTGTTTGAGGAGATGAGGTGTTTATTCCCCCCCTCACTCCACAAGGTAAATGACAGCTAAAGACAAGAATCAGAAGAAGGCATGCATTGATTGGAAGAACTTTTTTTTCTGCAGGATCAATCTTATTCCAAAGAAGCTTGTTAGGTTTTGACCCTTACAGGTTACAAAGTTTGAAAAACAGAAGCAGAACTTGCGGACGTCACATGTTAAGTCAGGAGAATCGGCGCTTCGCTGTTTATTATTCAAGCAGGGGTTCAGAGCAAAAATCACCCGGCATTCATGTTAAAGAGGTTAGCATGTTCAAGCAGCACTGGAGCGTAAGCTCTGCAAGAAACAGATATGCTCACCACGCTCTTGGGCTGACAGGTTTTTGTTCTGAAGCCTTGTTTGGCCTTTGAACTGGGGCTGCCGCTCGGGAGCGCCCCTACAGGCTGCCAGTTACTGGCCCTAACCTGGGATCAGGGCCGTTTTGCAGCTGCAGCTGCGGCACTGAGCTCAGCATCAGGAGTTTTAAGTTGGGTTTGTGCCTGCCCAAATTCACTCAACCCACAGGGTGGCAGGGGCTTCTCTTCCAAGGGAGGGCCTGGACAGATAAAAGGAGGAATTGTTGGCACTTGGTTAAATCTTCAAGTTTGGAACTCCACCCCAATCCACACACAAACACACCCGCCGCCACACACAAAAGGAGCTGTCGAGGTGCGGAAACAAGAATGAATGAGCAGCCCCACATATACCCAAGGCTGGTGCAGGTGTCATGTCTTCCTACATGTCATTTATTCCTTTCCAACCAGCTCTCAACATTCCATGGCTACTGAGCATGTTCAGGCCTCATTCAGTTTCTTGGGAGGGGGAGTTGCCCCTAAGGTGTATTCAACCCACTCCCTCCCCCCAAAAACTAGAGGTTCTCCTGAACATGCTGATACCTCCCTCTTCTTTCCAATAGCTCCATTTTTAGCTTCGTATCTGTCGGCACTCACCACATGAGTTTGAACTAGAGGGAGTGATTATTTTTTAGACGTTACGTATGTAAGTCACGGGCTCAAGAGGCATTCCTTTCCTGTGACAAAAGAGGGGAGAATACCTCTTCTAAGAAAGCACCTGCCACTATGGATTTAGAAAGTACTAACTTTCAAATTCTGCTGCCAGTTAATTGGGGGTGGGTACCTCTTAAATCGGGACGTGGGTGGCCCTGTGGTTAAATCACAGAGCCTAGGACTTGCTGATCAGAAGGTCAGCAGTTCAAATCCCCGCAATGGGGTGAGCTCCCGTTGCTTGGTCCCTGCTCCTGCCAAACCTAGCAGTTCTAAAGCACATCAAAGTGGCAAGTAGATAAATAGGTACTGCTCTGGCAGGAAGGTAAATGGTGTTTCCGTGTGCTGCTCTGGTTCGCCAGAAGCGGCTTAGTCATGCTGGCCACATGACCTGGAAGCTGTACGCCGGCTCCCTTGGCCAATAAAGTAAAATGAGTGCCACAACCCCAGAGTCAGCCATGACTGGACCTAATGGTCAGGGGTCTCTTTATCTTTACCTTTAACCTCTTAAACCAATCAAAATATTTTTAAGCAACCTTAAACACCATGCATATTTGCTAGACACATGTTCCACTTGCATGTAACAGGGCTTCTCCAGAGGAAGTGTGCTCAGGATCACAGCCTAAACGTTGCAGCTCTAAGTCAAATCACTTGTTCTTGATTAGATGGAATTTAACCAAGCATAAAGTCAAGTTCCCATATTCAGAGCTGCTGGATTTCGTACCCCATCCCCTCCCAAACACCAAACATATGGTATGTTACCTGTTTTCTGAGTGTTTTGTGAAGCTGGAGAAGCAGAGAAATAAGGAACCTGCCCCCTGGGGCCATGAAAGATGGAGGACACTGGAATCTGGGCTGGAGGGAGAGACTGGGCCACAACCTTCTCTGAAAGCCGTTGCCCAGCCTGGGAGGAAGGATGGCAAGACTGAAAAGGCTGGGAAGAGGTGGGAGGCACGAATGTCGGGGCGTTTTCGACAGGCCCCTGTATAAAGTCACTAAACTCGTCATCGTCAAGAAAGGCAGAGGTTTGGGAGACAGACACAGAGAATGGGATGGCGTGGGATGATCTGCAAAATGGAATGAAACACACACACATACGTACACACAAAATGGGAAACGAATGAGGAAAACAAGGCTTTTGCTAAGGTTAATAAATAAATATAGAGGGAGGGAGGGAGGGAGGGAGAGAAATGGCCATTTCTAATGAAGGCAGAACGGGGTTGCTGGCAATGCTGACTCCATGCCAAGCAGTACTGCTCAGCGTTTCGTAAACTGCTGGTGATGAGGAACATTGCTGCATTGAGGAGGTCCTCCTGAGAGTTCCCCTGCCCTCAGGCGTTCAGGTGGCGGCGGCCCAGGAGAGTGTATTGTCTGTGGCAGCCCCTAGGTTGTGGAACCCACCTCCCCTTCCAAGGGCGTCTGGCAACTTCACTATACAGTCATACCTTGGTTGTCGAACGGAATCCGTTCGGAAGTCAGTTCGACTTCCGAAAACGTTCAACAACCAAGGCACGGCTTCCGATCGGCTGCAGGAGCTTCCTGCACTCAATCGGAAGCCGCGTCGGACGTTCAACTTCCAAAGAGCATTCGCAAACAGGAACACTCACTTCTGGGTTTGTGGTGTTTGGGAGCCAAAACGTTTGAGTCGCAAGGCATTCAAGATCCAAGGTATAGGACTGTATAGGTTTTGCCGTTATCTTGAAGATGCACCTTTTTATCCTGGGATTTGCCACCTAAGACGCATGTTGTTTAGTAC